CTGTGAGGATCGCTCTCATCTTCAAAATCTAACGCCGCTAATGGCATCGGATATATTTTCTTAGCATTGATTTCAAAATAAGATAGAGACTTTTAGACGCCTTCATGATTTCCCCACCAAATGTCAGTTTCTGAGTGATATCTTCCGTGACGAATGAATCATTATTGTGTGTGCAAACCAGCAGGTTTAATGATAAATACTCTCTCCCTAGTAAAACAGTCATTAATCAAGTACGTCAGCTTTGGAAAAAACATCGACTGCTTTTTGTGGATTTGCATGCTCTTCATTTTGTGCATTTGGTTTTGGGAGGCTCATTGTCTGCAGCCGAGAATCTGACATGATCATATATATTATAGATATGCAAATGCAGAAAGCAACCACAAATTAATTCATCTCATTGACGGTTTTTTTTTAATGGTACATGAAAATATGACTGCAATAGCTCTTTCATAATCCTTTACGTAAGCTTTTTGTTTTTGTAATATTAAAAACCTATGATATTTAATCTTTTAAGGTTTGGGAAAAAATATAGGGGTAGACTTTTCATTTTTTCCTCTTGTGCTTAATTTTCTTATTTGAAAGGACAAATGCTCTAGATTTGGAGCTCCATGAATATGACATATGTTTTGAGATTTGCCTTAAAAGCGATTTTGAAATCCACTAAGCAAACGATATATCATTCAAGTTCATGCAGAAGTTGAACAAAACAGTATTTTACAATTCAAAGAACTAACCTCTTGAAGATTATGAGAGCTTATGTTGAAATGAAGCCACACTTTTGATGGGACGAGCTCTGTATCCTGGGCAGATACACGTTGCTTAACTGAACAAATCCAAGGCCTCGTAGCATTAGTTTTTTTCATGTCGAAGAAATCACACTTTGTATTTCGAAGACAAAGATCTAGGCACTGAATTTTTGAAATAACATGCGCTCCCAATAGCTTGATTGCAGTGGTCCGAGGAAATTTCCCGCTTCGCTGATGGCTGTGCAAGATGCTTTGAAAAGCATTTTGGCAGGAATGACTTGGTGAGTGAACATCAAATGTTAGGCCTACTAGCAATGCCGCAGCAAAATAATCTTTCAACAACATTTTGCGCTTTAATGCCTAAGTTAGTTAAATGACAACGGAAATGAAGTTTTTACAGCTCTGGCTGAAGATAATTAACAAAAGTGACGTTAAATTTGACGCGTGTCCTTTTATGGGTTGTTTATGACACAACTCGACAATTCCACATTGAATAAAGTATTTTGAAGAATTGTTATTTAATCTATAGAATGAACTTTTCAAAACTAATAGATAACGCATCACTTCAAACACGAACATTCATGATTAAGCAGATTTCCTACATCCCATATAATGTTCACAATTTTTTTTCCATTGGTCTAGATTATTTCAGATTTTTTTTAATTTTTAAATTAATAAATTGCTAAATTTGTAAATTTTCAAGTGTTTCTAAATTTTTATATTTCTACTTATTTCAAAATTTCTAATTTTCTAAATTTCTAAATTTTCTAAACTTCTAAACTGTACAAAACTTTTAAATTTCTAAACTTCTGATTTACTTCAATTATGGAAATGGCTGATTTCCAAAATTAAAGAAAAAATTATGAAAAAATCTATCATTCCGCTAGAAAGGACGGAGATTATGAAATTGTAATAAAATATAAACAAACGATAGTAATAGCAACGGTGGTAAAAATATCTTTTACAAGAAGCATAAATAAGAATATTTGACAATTTAAAATAAACTTTGGTCTGGAAACTCATGGAACTCGAGGATAAAACCTAGTATACATTTCTGTGAAAAAAAAATTAACTCAAAATTATGGCTACCCATGTTTTATTCTCTTATGCATAAGCTTATGAATTACTACTCATAACAATTTTATTGTTCTACAAAGCAAATGTTAGTAACAGCTGTTTAAACAGTTACAGCTACAGGAAAAAAAAACTTTTTCAAATGTCTTGTGTGTTTTGTTCAATATAGCATCAAGAGAATGATATTCTCATAGAGTTGATGTTGAAAAGCTCGTGCAGCAAGTGGCGTGAATCTTTCGAAAGGCGCTCTTTGCAATGTTACCACAAAAAAAATAGTTATTCCATATTCATCTGACATAAACAGCAGTTACGGTCTTTAATAATTTCAGCGGCCCTGCAAGTGTTTTGGTTTTTTTTTTTACTTTTCATGGGGAAGCCGTCTCAGTGCTGAGATTTAGGAAACAACTTTAGTTTCATAGTAGGAATATTATTTTCTTTTTAATTGCACATATGAAATTCTACGTGTTTATTTTAGAGGTGCAAAGTCAGCGACATCCTCGAGACGTTATATACTAGTTGTGCATCAACTACGTTGCAAAGGGGCATCAGATTTCTATTATTTTCAGATTTCAGAGACCTATTTGCGTGGAATTGTCAGCGAAGATGGCTAAGAAGTAAATAAATTGTAACTGCATATTTTTTCATCAATTGCGGTATGTTACAGTCATAAATACACATGAATATGCATGTAATACTTTACGTCAAATTCCAACTTTTAACTTTGTCACGATAAGATTAATTAATGTACATGTATATGAAAAGAAAAATCAAAAGGGAATTGATTGGGTAAAAGAAATAGGCTGTATTCATTATAACTCCTTCCCAAATACCCTTAAATTTTTATCCTATACATTTGTGTTTCTTGTTTTGCTTCAGTTTTCATTTGATGTCTCCTGATGCCGGCGAAAAGTAAAATACAATTATCTCTGTGCTTTACATCAAATTTAACTAATCTAGGCTAATGTTACCTTTTTTTTTAGGATCTCCAGTCGTATGAAATATCTTTCTATATTTTCTTTGTTTACCGTCCTATTTGTGCCTGAAGGTGTTTAACTCGAGTGCTGCTCATTGGTGATTGGATGGAGCGCAATTTTGGATAATAGACTACGAATAAGCCAGGATATTCATTTTCATTATATGGATAACGATGAAATACCGAATTAGCTTTCGCTCAAAACATGATATCTTCACACTTTAAGGGAGATAACATGTTATCTCACATGTGAAGAGATCACTGTTGTTTTATTATACTTAAAATATACATATATATATATATATATATACATATCAAAGTGAATGATTTAGTTTTCCATTGATGTTTACATGATAAATAGAAGATTCGTGTTCAAAATATTTCACTCGTTCGCTTCGCTCACCCGTTAAATGTTTTTTTCATGCTCCAAGAGAAATTTCTAACCTCCGCACGGCCATGTAATATCCTTTGTATTGATTTTTACCAAGGAAACAATTTTTTCTTGTAAAGGTAGAAAAGAAAAAAAAATTAAAACAGGAAAGAGAATACCGGCCGTAGCTTCTAGCCAACATTTCAGTAATTGCCGTGGTTAGCTATGTTTTTCTTTGCGCTCGGGAGACGAAGAGAAAAATAAAGAATAAAGAACCAAAAAAATAAAAACAAAAGGCAACGACGAAAAAAGGAGCAAAATTGGACAAAGCGAATTAAAACACATAATCCGAAAGGAGAAGCATAACTCAGGGTACCGTAAACCAAATTTAAAGCTAACCTTTTGAAGTTCAAGGGAGCTGATGTTGTAATGAATCCAGTTTTTGAGTCCAGCGTTTGTTTCCTGCTTCTTTTCACTAGAATTTGAAATCCGGTATATCTTACATGCCCACATGTTCTTTTCGTTGTTAACCTTTTGTCTCATCTCAAAGCCGTCGCAAAGAGGATTCCTCAAGCATATTTCAAGACATTGCATCTTGGTGAAAACAAACTGCCTTGGAAGTGACACGGTTGAATTTGACAGCACCCTTCCTTCCCGCCGATGTTTTTGTAAGGTATCTCGAAATGATCTATACCCTCTTTGGCATGGGTTAATCAGAGTACCAATTGCAAAAGCAGAGCAAACCACAACCGTTGCGATGTATAACTTTGCCATTTAATTGCCACAGCGGTAAGTCTTCCGAAAAAATACTCGTTAAATTCAATGTGAACAAATAACACTTATTTGCCCAAAACGCAAATTTTCTTTCATACGTACTATTTCCATTTTCTCGCCGGATATTTTAATATCTTTTTGTCAGAGTTAAATCAACAGATGGAAATCAAGGGATTAGGCCATATGCTAGTGTTTGCTTAACATCCATTAAAACTCAGAAGCAAAACCAATCAGTGTGTTCCCGCCATCAAAATTTTAACCCCACTTTTCGCGAGTAATTCTTTTCCTTTTTTTGCACTTTATTATTGCAATCTTGGGAAAAACAAGCCAGTATCATCTTATTGATTAAAAACAATTAGCTGGAAGCAGTAATATGTGTATTTTTTTTGTGTTGTCAAACACCATGCCAGAATTATTGACAGGATATGTTTCCTATATGACCAAAAACAAAGCAAGTACTTATTAAAAAAAAAAAAAACTAAGGTAGCTTTTACCTATTAACTTTCTGGAGTTCCTTTTTCCTTAAGACAGCTGCAAATCGAACCATTACGTACGGCTGTCATTCAGAGAGTTTCTGTTTTCTACTGATTGAAATGCACGCGGTGACTTGTTACCGGAACCTCGGAAATAATCTGCCATTAGTTCTCCCTGAAGAAGACTGCTTTGGATACTCGAACGAAACAAAATTTATAAAACCAATTAGGCTTCATTCGTATCGGTATTAGCACTTATTTTCCAGATTAGAGTTTCATAATCAAGTATCGGTCGGGTAGATGTATCAACTTCCTTTTCTCTAGGCCCAGCATGTTCGAAAGTTCGATGATACTGTGCACACGATGCATTGGATAGCGTTGTAGGTTTTTAAACACTTATCTGATTGATAGCGATTTAGTCTTTGGATATCCGTCCTTTGAACAGTTAGAACCATATCTTATTGGAAGCTGGAAATGAATTTATAGATGTTTAGTGTTTAATCATGCGAAGTTTTGATGCGGTCGGTAAACTGTCTTTCTGAATTCAACCTTGCTGAATCAGACCAGGAAGCTTCACGACTTGGTGATGCGATTTGCTTGTTAAGCTTTGAATGTTTTATTAATGCTTTTAGAATGAAATGTGTCACGGATAAGTTCACTTTGAAAAATTAGCCCTTAAACAAGATGGCGTCATTTGTTGAAAATTCTCTCAAGCCTCGTTTACAATAGTATTTTTATAAATTATTTCGACTTTCTTGTTCTTTCTACGTGGATACGCTGCTCTTTTGGTTTCAGTGCTTTGGGAAAATTCTCTTCAAAAAATTTACCATACTGCACCTTATACGCGTGGGCGTAGAGGAAATTTGATTTTCCGACGTAAACATGCTAAGTCCTATTGTGACATCTTTCAAACAATAAGGGAGGTGAGTTTCTAAAGAAACTGTGGTGCCACGTCGGTCAGAGAGTATAAAAAAGCAATTTGGTATTATCAACTGAGTTGATAGCGTCAATTGACCACCGTTAAGATTTTCAAAGCTGACTTTTCAAACGTTAGCCCTTCTTCAGAGCGCGCTTTCAAACAACATGGTACAATAATAGCCGGCTTTGTACAGGCAAATAGCTAGCATGTCTTTCTTTTGATGTTAGTTCTCTTTCAATTTCGGTAGTATTATTTTTCTTTTAAGCTAATTAATCCTTCGAAACAAATATTTTTGAAAAAAAAGTAATTACACATGCTTACAGAAAAAAAAGGCGCTTGAAATTTCTTTTAAGTAGCAATGCTTTGTGTGTTTATAATTAATGTCAGGCAGATGGTAAGCCTCCCACTGCAGTCTCTAAAAAGGGCTCCAAAGTAGAACAGGATGTGAAATGAATGTAGCATAGGTATCTACTGTGGGATAGGACAGCAACAGTGTTGGCTTGAACTTTCTGGGTCAACACAACACCATCCATTTGCAAGAATTCGAGCCTCCCAGACTCCGCTACAGTTTCTCTGCTTCTTCTTCTGAGTACATGAATCAACAGTTAGTGCTTTGGTCTTGCAATACTCATCCAGTGACACAGCAGTCGGCGTTTGTGACGAAAGTTCTAAAGTGGAACCCGCTTCATCTGAAAAAAATACATTTCATGCCAATTAAATAAAACTTTTCATTCTAATGTCTACAGTTCCATTGCGAGTGAAATACGTGTTTGACATTAGCTTTTTTGTCGGGTAGGCTGACCAGACCCTCTTCAACCAAGCAAGGCCTTGTGCATAATTTTGGGGAGTAATGTCCGGGATTTAACGCAGATAGAAAAAACAGCGGAATTTACGGAAATGAGCAAGACCATCGACGAAGTCTACGAGATTAATTCAAATAGTTATACGGATAGGCCCAACGAAATATACGAAAACTGCGAAATTTTCGCTTATTCGACAGGCTATCGACGAAATCTACGAAATTTATGGAAAGGTTTGCAAGGAAGGCCGCAGTTGAATTTACGTTAATTTCATATGATTCCGCTTTCGTGACCTTCCTCAAAACTCACCTGGAGGGAAGATTAGGAGAGTTTTAGATTAAGGTTAATATGCCATGTGTTTATAGAATAGAATATTTTCCTCCCGCTTTATCTTCCCATAGACGCGTACGCTTAAACATGTCTTACAGAATACAGAATACAGAATATTAAGGGGATACGATAGTAAAAAAATTGCCGGGAAATTTTAGGGGAATTATTGAAATACCTCAGAGCTTGGGGAGAGGGTAAAAATCAGAAATGAGGTAAATTCTGTTTTGGCACATCCAGATTCCTCCTTTCCCAATCAACCTCAGCGGGTTCCTCTATGACCTTTATGCATGCTTTTAATAACAAATATTAAAGTTTTAGCTATAATATTATAGTTCGCAGCTCATGAACGATTTTTAACCCTCTTCCAAACTCTTCAATAATGTGAAAGAAGAGGCCTTTGCAGTCATGAAAGCTAAATTCCCACTCCTGTCAGTCTAAATCTCACAATCACTGTGGTTGGCTGTACTCTCTTCGTATTTCCTTTTATTGAAAATACAGGTTCTCCCAAATCCGAACGGCTGCAGTCTCCAGTTACCTAAGAAGTTTATTGACATCGACTATTTGACTGATAGTGATTTATGGGTATGTAATATATTTTTCAATTTTAATGAAATTACCTGTGTCTTTCTCTTTGCATTCGTTTTCTGCCGACGCAAGAATCTGGAACAGAAAAAACATTATTGCCTTTTTCGTGTTATCAGTTTGCACTGTAACCTTGAGAACTACATGCTATGCCGGATGCATTTGCAGATAATTCGGAAACAGATAACAGAAAGCAAGTTCACGTTCTATCAAAAGCGATGCAATATTATATTGCTTAACTAAAAGAGGATATGATCATTAACATAGCTTACTCTTAACCCTTACAAGTGTGACTGACAATTGATCTTATTTAAAGGGTATAATCAGGAAAAAACTAGAAACAGGTGCAATTTTCCTGACTTAATTTTCTTAACTTAAATTTTATCATTTCGAATACAAAATCTCTTCCTAACACTGCAGCAAATATGGCAAACTTATGAATTTCTATACGGAAAATAAAGCAATAAAAGTATGTTCGTAAATAATAAAATATTAGATGATAAACATGTAAATCCAAAAACCCGGGACTTTTATCGCCAATGCAAAGATAATGTCACAATGAAAAAAGAGGGAAGAGAAAAAATCCAGTAAATTCAATAACTCTAAGAAGTGGTTATGATCTTATGTAAATCAAAGGTTACCCGCGTAAACCAGTAAATTAACGCAAGGCTTAACGAGGAGTTGGAATGAATTTAAAACAAGGATAAGTGTTGAACATAGAATTTTGATTTCACTTTCAAATGGATATGTATGGTTTGTTAGGAAAACCGAGAGGATGTTATTGAATTTTGTGTTGAGTTGAATTTAAGTACCACCTTTTTGTTCTCTGAAAGCATTTGTAAGAATCATTTATTGAACTGAAAGGTAAAGATGTTATTGAAATATTGATCAAAGCAAGAAACAATTGAAGTGATTATGAAAATTCAGATTGAAAAAAAATGACGGAAGAAAAGATCAGGCCTTATGTTAAAAGCTTCCTCAGTTATCTTTCGTAGTTTTCGAGTATTTGTCAACATAAAAATCAAAAGATGTCTTTCGAAGTGAAAACGTGTTGCAACTGCAAGATTCTGATTGAGTTCAGCATTTCCCTTACAAAAGAAGTGAACAGAATAGCACATATTGGACCGGAACTTACCTCCTCTAACGCCCTTGAACTCACATTTATATGTGTCCAGTCGTCGTTTTCTATGATAAAATACTTTGGATTTGCGCGGTTTACTTTGCAACTTCTCTGTGTATTCTGTTTTTTTATATCAATAGATGCGCAAAATTTAATTCTCAAGCAAAGATCTAAGCACTGTAGGTTAGTAAACACATCTTTTTCAAAAACAATCATGTTCATGTCTGCTAATCGATGTCCACCAATTCTATTGCTATCAATGATTTCTTTAAACCTTAATAGTCCATTCTGTTGACAGGAATTGTTGATTCGAGTTGATGACATGACACAATACAATAAAAGCCAGGAAACTTTCAAAAAGCCTGTGGTAGCCATTTTTAGATAATTGGAGATACTTGACTGGAAAGACTGATAAATAAATAAGTGATTTTGTGGTTGCTTCGTTGAGTAGACAAAAGCCTTGGGCTAACTTGTTAGACTTTGGGGATAAGACCAAAGTGTTACCGTACGAATACTGTGAAATCAATTTGACCAAATGACCTGACATTTTGCTCTGAAACAAGAATAATTTAGCTTTCCAACAAGCGTAGGCGGTATTGAATTCATTATCACTGGAAGAGATTTGATTATTTACTAATGAACCGCAGTTAGTAACGTGTTGATAAAAGAATTAGTTAAATAGAAAGAATTAATTGTAAGGCTGAGTGTAATAACGACGATGATTGTCGAGTCAAAACTATCGCTTAATTTGCTGAAACGAGAATAATCTACTTCGATTGAATTGTTAACTATGGTCTTTGCTAAAACAAATTCGTTAAGAAAAAAAAAGTTATAGGAAATCTGCCTTAAAGAAGCCTTCTGGTCAATAATTTTTTTGTGGATGTCCGACCTGATTTCGTTTAACTTACCCTGTTCTCTACTGATAAAATATAAAAAAAAACCAAAATAATAATAACAAAGGTAACGAGAGATTTTTAATAAATTTTTGCACTTGAAAGCTGTTATGCGGTTGGTACAATGCAGCGAATTGTAGCAATACGGGCGGGGAACGTTGCATTCAATCTTGCAAGCAACCTAATTTTAGACAGAAATTCTCACAAGTGAGCTGAATAAGGGTCCGTGGTAATAAATGTGAGCCCAGAATCTCACTCTGGACAAGTTTTTTAGACTTCTAGAGTATTCATTTCAGCTCCACTGTAGCAGGTTCATGGTTCCCCTTCTCGCCAGATTTTTGTTCTGTTTTGCTATGTTTTGTTTTGCTTTGTTGGTTTGTTTTCTCTTCTGTCGATAGTTTTGATGTTTTACCTTCAAACGATGGCCATCTATGTATCTACACTATGTATCTATTTGTGAGGGACATGAATATATTTTTACGCTGCTGCAGGCCTGTAACGTGATTTAAAACTAGTAATAATCATGGATTTGTAAAGTGCGTTCGATCTAGCATCGGACTAGACATCATGATATATATTTTTTGGCGATTATAAATTCCAAGGTGCAAGTGAACCTACAGGTATCTATAAATGTCGTAGCTCACAATTCTGATCTAGAGATTATAAACCCTTGTTCTGATCAAATGGGTGGAATTTATCTACATATCTTCCCATGACATCCAGATCGAAGCGATTCAACTTAGTGAGGGGTCGATACCCGCGGGAGATCATAACACTCGCGGGACTGGAAATCGACGTGGAATCGGGCGTCGTACGCACATATTTATTATCATATTTCTTTTAGTAATAAAATGGAAATGAAATTTTGTTACATTTTGGTAACTTCATTAGTGAAGACACATGCCAAGTGTAAAATTAAGACAAATTAGAGAAATACCCCGCTGATAAATTTTAACCTGATGGGAATCGTTAAATTCTACTAGGAAGATTTGATGAGACGATTTACGAAATATGTCTTAGTTGGTCGTAAAAGTGCATCAAATTTTGCTCTTCTCATTTAAATCCTAACGCACTATTACTCAAAAGTCAAAGTTATGCTTATTCTTCTAAATATAATTTTACAATTCAGCTTACCTGTCTTAAAAATGCAGAACTCATGTTAAAATGGATCCAATCGCGCTTGGACGCCAAACGCACATTCTGTTGGTTACCGCCGTAAATCTTACAGATCCTCCCATTAAATTTTGAGGATTGCATGAAATCGAAGGAGGTGCAGTGATAAAACCGTAAACAACTGTCCAGGCAACCAGTAACGGTGAATATGCCATCGAGGACATATGCTGGAATCATGTCAGACGAAATGCGCTTTCCTGCAAAAATTCGATCTTGATTCCTTGCTTGGGTTGGGTTTCCAAAAAGTGTATCGCAAGTTTTAGTTAAAGCCAAACCAAAGAGAAATGAAAACACTGCCAATTTAACATGTATTACAGCCATCTTGATGCTTGTCTTTTGCGGTCATTATAGGCTATCCATTAAAACCGGATTTTATCCAGCTGTTTTATAGACATACAACGCTTACATTTTGACATTTTTGACTGAAACGTTTTTTATCATGTTAATCGACCAGATTCTTTCAATGTGGTCTTCGGGTTTGCTTTCACGCGAACGTCATGTGTGTGTGTACGCTTCTTTTGTTTGTTTTTGTTTTAATTTGTTGTTTCTCTCTATCTCTCTTTTTACTCTTGTTTTTGGATAACGATGACGAAGTTCTTACCGATTTTCAGGAGTATAGCATTTTAGACGTATAGAAATTATTTACTGGAAGTGGGTATATCTTGTAGTTATTGCCCTTTTCGGAAATCGTTCTCTTAAGAAAATATTCACTAAATAATTTCGAATTATTTGAAGTAATGGTAGGCGTAAATCACACTTTGATGTTCTGTGCTCAATATTTAATGACATCGTCATAAATGTAAGGGTCCAATAGCATTCAAGATTCATACGTAATCAAGCTGTAACTCTGTAACATGTAATTTCCATATATATGCTTGAAATTTATTGAAACTAGACTTGTAGCAGTCCCTGCTTTACGGCGAAATTCACTGCGCGAATAAATCAAAATCAGTGAAAAAAGATATTGACGTTAGCACGCTGCGTGTTGACGGAATTTTTTTCTCTTGACTAACGCGATAGACTTCGCCCAAAACTAGCAATTGCTCAAAGTCTACATTAAAATATGCACGGGCGATATATTTATTTTCTTACTTATCTATTTTAGAATCTCATCATTGGCACCCGTCATATTTTTAATGTGACCACAAAATCCAATTATAACTTTTTGTCAGTTTTTGTTCGTCGTACGTGTAAATGCTCTTAGTTCCTAATGTCAACGGGTTGCTCGTAGTTCATCGTTTTTCCTTTGCAACAAACAGCACAAGTGAAACAAGAATAGAAATGATAATTTTTTCCTTTTGGGCTTGATGAAAGCATGATAACGTAAATTGGCCACCGTAAATACTTTCAAAGCTAATGTTTCGATTGCTAGCCCTTCGTCACGGTGGCCAATTTACATGTTATCAACTCAGTTGATAATACTAAATTACCATGTTATACTATTTCACAGTTTCTTTAGAAACTTACCCCCTTTAGTTAAATGGGAGCATCATGTTTGATGACTACACGTGGATAACAATCGTGCCTCTAAGTTTAACCAGGGAATGCCCTAAAATATCCGTTCTTTTCGGATCTGGAGCAGATCGGAGTAGGTGTCTGTTTTCTCCACTGTGTGGTGAATGTTTTTATTACTTTGGAAGAAAAGAGGAAGATTCTACTTCCAATTTCGTAGAGGCTGCATTTTGGATGAAGCGATATCCTGAATTTAATGCATAACACTTTGCACGCCAATTTTTCCATGCTCGACGTCTAACCACTAGTGTGTCAGAATTGTCCCAAATTCACTTTTTGTTACCAATTCTGGAAATTTTATGAATGAAGTATACACTGGCTCCAGCGATTTCTTTCTTGAAAGTTGTCGGATTACTTTATAAATAAATTTGTTGGTTGTTTGTTTGTTCATCTTAATTTTATTTGCTTTTCTTTACTTTTACGCTCCATGACATATAAGCTGTTAGGCTACTTGAACTCCAATTTTTTTTAGTGTCTCGTTCAGCATTACTTAAAAGCGCTTCGTATGATTTTAGAGATGATTTTTTGGTGTGGCAGTGCTGTATTAGATTAAGAATCCCTAATAGTCCTGAAGGCCATGGTCATCGATCACATCAGAGAGGCGCCCTGTGGTCATTTAGAGGAACATTTTGAGATAAGTGATAACTTTGTGTCTATTATAAAAACCGGACGTGAAGAAGCTAATTACAAAGAAATTGAATATTAATAGCGTCTCATGAATACAGCCGTTCAGACCAAACTCCTTAGAGAAAAACTTAGCAAAAACTGCTTACCAATTAAATAAGTGTTCAATATGGCTGCTTATTGGATAATTAGTCATCCATCGTAAAATCTTAGAATTATTTGAACATTTGGAAATAGCCTTTCTCCTTATTACCAACAGACAAGACATCGTATTAAGTGCTTTTGATAGGCGACTTTCGTAATCTTAACTCTGTTCCAGTTATTTTTATTTAATATTAAACTATAATATGCAAACCAGTTTGAACATTATTTTTTTAATGTTCTGTCATGGACAGCACAGAAGTTCTTATAGTATTTACAAAATGTATCGCATGGGAAATTTTAATAACGATAGAAAGTAAACTCCAGCTGACAGCCTCCATAATAAAAGGATTATCAATCGGCTCCTGTGAATAAACAAACGCTAATAACTACAGCAGGACTGCCTTGATTTCCGGTTCAAAAAAGGTGCTCATACAGTCAAGGGCCATTGTTTTATTCCTTGTGTCCAACAACATTATCTTATTAGAATTTCATTTCTCTTTTGTTTTTGAGACTTCGTGGAGGTCGATGTGTCGCAAAGTACTCATACAGGTCAAAACAATAAGCATTGTCAAGAAACCTTCGTCTGGGAATTTTGTCACCGCCAGATCAGGCGAGCAACAAATAAAGAGAGTGTCAATTCTGCAGGCGAGGTTTTTCACCGAGCACATTCTACTGTATCATTCTTTCTCTGGCAGTAGAAAATGAGGCGGCATATATTTGTCTTTTTCTTGAACCTTTTCGTGGCATTCAACTTGTCATGTACACAAGGTACGTTCTAGTATCTCTGTCACACTTAGATTTGTTTTCAAACGTCTAATCGATGGGGCGGGAAAGTCATTTGTTCACCAATTAGGGCTTCACGCGATTTCGTTTTTTCATTTGTTTTCATGATCAATCCACGACCTTTTTCCACTCTTATTATATGTTACCTTTAATCAGCTACATATTCCTCATGGATTTAGAAAACTTTCGTAAGGCATGCATTTCTACTGCTATACACGCCTTCAGTGCAACGAAGACAACATCGATGGAAATGGAATCCACAAATTTCGGTCTTCTATGAATACATAACAACTTTTACAGTCTCTCTCATTTTGTATATATCAATAACTGTCAGGTCTCAGCTTACCCTTCGCCACATGCTATTCAATCTTCACACTAAAGGCACTGATTTTTCTTCGTTCAGCCTCTAGTATAGCAACAACAGCCTTGTCGACATTGCAGTGGGCTTGCTGTATATTAGATTTTTAATTACCACAAGTCAACTATCACATTGAAATCGATCTCGGTTAGCACCTCTAGTATCATGAGTTGTTAACTCAGATATTCGACCAAAATATTTTAAAACTTGGCTTGTACTGTGAGAGTACACGACGAATTTATTGAATGGGTATGTGTGTGTGTTGCTAGTGTTGGAACGCCCAAAGCCAATTATATGCTGTACTCGAATAAATTTTACAACTCTGATGTAGAGTCAACACCGACAAGGTCATTGCTCAGTAAGACTTAGAATTCATAGACACTCTAGTCGCCCAGATTAAGATAGGTGTAGCCGTGTTCTTCATCATCCAAAACACCGATCAATAAAATTATCATGATAAAGTTTTTTTTTTGAACTGGGTACAGTTTTCATGCGATTCCGATAAGTTTATATATTAGCCTTTCTCTGTTACTCATATATTCGACACACAACGGTCTACAGTCTTGGCCGCGGATAAATTATTGCCAATTTTAGAACGCCATTTTTTTCGTTGTAAACAAAATAACCAGCCATTGACTTGCAGAAAAAGTACCGAAAAACAAAGGAAACCGATGATGGTTTGGTTAAAAGATACTTTGAAAAGCGAATAGAAAGTTTGTCAAGTTTCGGCTCTTCTCTGAGACCCAAGTGCGTCCCTCCCTAGAACAAGGAACACTCATCAAACGGACGAACTCTACTTCACAGACAAATCAAGTCTTAAGTGCACAATGAAGGCCGCATTGTGTGGTTCTCTGGAACGCCTCATATCTTTAGATGCATAGCGTGCTGAAAACAACCTTCTCGGTGTGAGATTCAATAGAATAATTGAACCGATTGTTCACGCACTGATTACCGACGCAATGATTATTCACGCGCTGAGCGAAATGATTATGAGAAAAAGAAGAACTATGAATTCCAAATGAATTCTTTGTCGTCTGACCTTGCTTTAGTCCCAAGCACTGAATAACACAATTGAGTTTGTCAGAATCATTGCTACTTTCTTACAAGGTCATTCATGATGTTGTTCAAGCAATGCTGCATATCATAACGTCACGTCAGACTACTTCAAGCCTGTGTCACAACGTTGCACCAAGTCACGCTATCGCACCACGCTATGCCGTGTTTCAGCTCATTATATCTGGTCAAATTAGATTATGTCACATCCTACACACAGAAAAGTTGTTTCATGGTATGAAATATAGATATTAAAAAAAAGCATTTGTAATGAGTTTATCTCTCTCTTTTTTGCTTTGTTCTCGTCAACTTACGAATTCAGAACTTCCCACAAATGCCAGTCAAGGAGAAATGGTGATTGATGATGCAGCAAGTAAGTATGTTTATGATTATACGCACTATTAAAAAGGAGTCTCTCTAGTTCTCTGGGATTGTAAAATACATGACTGATAGAGTTATGTACCAAGCGAGAAAGGGAAAGTTTGTATTTCTTTACTTGTTTTGTTGTAAATCTTTGAGCAGAGTCCCCGCACACAAGTGAATACCATTTCTTGAAAGAATATAAAAAAAAGCCTTTATGGAAATTCAGATAAACATTATAGAAAGCTTTTGGTTGTTGTTGTTGTTTTTTTTTAATATAAATACGAGTATATTTTCCTTGCTTTTCAGACCTAGAAATTGCATGCCACAGTGATTTCATTGAAGTAACTGTGGAAAGCAAAAACTACCCCGGCCTTGACACCAATGTAACTCATCTTGAAGATGAGGCGTGTGTGCCCGTTTATAAAGATGACTCCAAGGCTGTATTCAGATTTGGCTTAGAAGAATGCAAGACCAAACACGAGGA